AGGAGGGGGGAGAGAGAGAGAGAGAGAGAGAGAGGAGAGGAGAGGAGAAGAAAACAGAAGAAAAAAAAAAGAGGAAGACGAAAAATCGGTGCTGGAGATTAGATAAGGGTGGAAAATTTTTTATTCACCCTTACATTACATATAATTTCACATAAGCCCACCTAGCTCATTTAATACAAGTCAAGAATAGGAAAAATTCCCTTAAGCCTCTGAACCATGTAAAAATTTAGAAACAGACCTTAGTAATATAAGTTATGGTTGAAAGAGGCTTAGAAAATATATGTTAGGCCCCTATCATTTACTCAATTTGCAAATAAGTCCAATCTGAGGAATAAACAAAAACTTTTAGACATGATAAAATTTCCAATAACCTCCTACATTATCCTAAATTACTAAAAAGTTTAAAAGCTAGTATATGAGAGTTATAAAATTTTGATAAATTGCTAAGGTTAGCAATAAGCTCTTATGTACTGTAGAATTTAATTATGATTGATTATGCTTGAATTTATTAGACTCTAGATTATGAATTGATTTACCTTATAATATATGTTTGTCTTGAATTAATAATTAGTCCTATATCTTATATTATAGGATCTAATTGATATTCAGATGGATAATATTTTGGGAAAGTCGTGTCCGCTTAAGGTGAGTTCATTTCTCACTAGTATTTTGCAATATGAAATCGCATGAATATTATATTTGATTTATCTTGTAATCGGAAAATAATATATCATTTTCATGTATATAAAGATTTGATCTACCTTTGTTGTCGCGTAAACCATAAACATGATATTGTTTCGTACAAGATATGAAAATTTTATTTGATTTTATATGAACTATGAAAAGCGAATCGCCTCTCATGCAGTTTCAACTAATTGTATGCATTGCTTTATCTAAAAGTTTTTCATGAAGTAGTTTCAACATATTTCAACGGTTTAACGGATTCAAAGATTTTCTGTGACTTGGTATCTGATTAAAAAAAATCGTAAACTGTCTTAACTGGGATAAGAAGTTTTACCTTGTCAACTTTAATTGAAAATATCTGTAAATTCTAAGATGCAAAGTATTACTCATTGGACATGTCATCTCGATGTTTTCAAACCCTCAAATAGTCCACTATGGATTATTTCTGCCTGTCATATGGTGAATGCACATTTATTTGGCCCCTCAGTATTGGCCCTTCTGTATTGGCCCTTCTGTATTGCTCCTTCTGAAATTTATTCTGGTCCCTCTGTATTTGGCCAGTAACCTATGACAGTGTTAGGTGCATTCAATTCCCGAGAATTATCTGTCATGTGATGCGTTTTACGCATTCCTTTACTATTGGGCTATAATTCGTAGCCTTAGTGTGACCTATGGGGTGACTTTTACATTCATGAATAACTAATATAGTATTAAGATTCTGATAATTGACTGTGAAATTGAGAAAAGAATAATTCTCTGGTTTTGTACAAATAGTAGTTCTTTTTCGTCTTAATGTTTCAAAAAGGGTTTGATTTCAAGAAAATTCATAGTATATTAAGTT